TTTCATATATTTTATTTATTATATTTATTTCTTTTATATCTTCAGTAACTTTATATTTTTCATTTTATATAAATAGAAGACAATTTCTTTTAGCTTAGCAAGGTGTCTGACTCATAGTTTTATATAATAGTTTAGTTTAATTTCTCTAACATAATTGTATAGTACAGAGCGCTGACTAAGGCAATATTCCATTATTATAGTTATTAAATAAACTGTTAATTCATCAACACTTTTCTAAATCTAAATATCAAATTAAACCTTCTGCTTACCACCCATAAATATTGCTTCGCTTATCATTCATAAGCATCTTAAAGAACTGACTATAACAATATTATTTATACTGATACTCTAATATAACTGTGATACAGAAATTTTTTTATAATATATATAGCTATAGATTTTTTTTAAAATCTTTTTTTTACTAATAAGCATTTATATAAAAGATATTAGTGTAGATTTAGGGATTAATACTGCAATTAGTAGAATTAATATAATTAATAAAGTTAGTGCAATATAATAATTAATATAAAATTAATATAAGTATAGTACAAGTATAGTATTAATTTTATCTAGTAAACAAATTTTTCAATTTTGTATTAATAATTTTCTTTTTATTTAGTTTTATGTTTAAATAGAATCTTTTGTATAGTTAGAAATAATGATATAATTAAAAAATTTTTCTTTTTTATTTTTTGATAAATAGTAGTAATCATTAGCTATGCATTTAATAGATTTATCAAAAAGAATGATAAGGTTAAATTAATTCAAATAAGCTTAGAGATAATAATAATTAGATTTTATAATTTTTATATTTATTTCTATTTCTAATAAATTTTATTGTAATACTGTATTATTAAACTTAAAAAATTAAAAAAAAAAAAGTTTAACTGAAAAAATTTCTCGTTTTTTACAAAAATAGATAATAAAAACATTTTACAATTAGATCTTAAAAATGAAATTATTTATTAATGTTTATAAATAATAAATTTTCGTTTTATTATAATTATCGTAATGTTCTTTTTTCCACAAAATAACTCTTTTTTACATAATATATCTTTAAATATCTTTAATAAATTTCTATTATTATTATTATTATTTTTATTTTCCATAGATTTTTATTTATAAAACAAAAAAAATTATTTTTAATGTTCTTTTTTAAAAAGCTATAAATTGTAAAATTATAATAATAGTGGATGGGATATACATAGTTATTTAATTTAATTGTCTCGTTATTCACATTATTATTACTTTAAACGATCCTCCAAAAAGGGGGATTCACTCTTTTCCTTTTCCTTTAAGGATTAGGATTAGTGACGGTAACATTTTTTCAACCCAGTAGTATCACACCAATCGGAGACAGGTAAACAGTCCAAATATTTACACCAAGTACAAGTTTTAGTAGGATCTTCGACGTAAAAATTTCTAATTAACAAGAAGAACAGTAAAGCGGCTATAGGGATAGCCACAATTCTCAAGATCCAAGTTAGTTTTTTATGATTCTTGGTAGGGATTAACATTAAACCCATTACTATTCCCATAACGAAACCACCGATATGAGAAAAGTTATCAATAGCCGGTAATAAACCAATTGCGAAAGTAATTATTATCATGATAACCATCTTAGTTAATTCACAATATGGATTACGAATTAATTTCCAATTTTGAAACAAATCCAAAAATAATACACCAACAAGGCCGAATAGAGAGCCACTCGCACCAACGGATGGTGTAGTGGTATCAGAAAAATTACCACCAAATATAAATCCAAAGATACCGCTTGCCATATAAATTAAACTATAACGCATCCAACCAATTTCAATTTCAATCTGTTTACCAGTTTGCACTTGAAAGATCATATTAAGCAGGAAGTGTACTACCCCACCATGTAAAAAGATTGGTGTAATAAATCTAAACCATTGATTTGGTTTATCTCCCTTGAACCCTCCAAAACCACAAATTTGTTCAATGGTACAAGTTCCTTTAGTTGGATCATTTGAACATAGAATTGGCGTATTATTATCGAGGGAAGGTACAAGTTTCATACATGGTACAAATCTTGCTCCTAATTGAATAAGTGTAGGTGAAGCAGAGGGTCCAATTAATGGATTAAATGGATTGATCTGAATCAAGCTACCAGTTTGTTGTTTATTATATATAAATTCATAAATCAATAAAGCCAATTGTATCAATGTAACAATATAAGTAAAGTATGGTCGTTTCCATGATTTTTTCTTTGGAATTAGCAACGGATCCGAGTATGCTTTTTGTAATCTAGGTCCAGCCGGTTCGGTTGGTAATTGCGCCCCCATACCTACTTGTACATTAGAACTATCTCTTCTATCACCACCATTTCCCACGGCCGCGTAATAATTATCAGCCTCCCCAGGACGTTGATATCCAATTCCCCCACCAGGTGGTTTCATAGAACCTTGGCTATATCTCATATATTGCTCTTGCTCTTCTCTATATAACCTTCTTGCGAGTTCTTCATCGCTTTCCAATCCCCTTTCTCTTTCAAAGGTAACATTGCCACGAGGTGATTCTGGTGGTGCACTTGGTATAACAACCTCTCCTCTTCCTTCTGGACTATGTTCGCTTCCTGGTGATTTCCAAAAGGAGGGGTCTCCTGGATTATTATGACCTACTTTCTCTACATCACTAATTACCTCACGCGTTTCTCCATTATTATTATATTCTTGTTCTTGTTTACGTGGAAAAAATGACAATGACGTGGGTTCTTGCATAGCTTGCGTATTATTATTGTTATAGGTGGTATCATAACCTTGATCTTTATGAAAATAGTTATTCCAACCAGACGGTTGCTGTTGAGACATTTTTTTAAAAAAAAAAAAATTTGGTAAAATAATAAAAAAAGGGAAAGGTTATTCTTTATAGGAAACAACCCTACTAGCTCAGATTTCTTGGCCAGAAATCCGATACCCTTTATTTTTTTTGGCGTTTCACAATCTTTAATTTAATATTTTGCCGAAAAGTATATCATTAATTATCCAAATTAAATATAGGAGGAAAATTCTATCCAGAAAATTATTCATATAATTTGGCGACAATATTTTGTGTAACAAAAAATTGCCAAGAATATACTATAAATAAACATTCCGAAAAAATGGGCTTTTCTTGCCAATGTCGGATCTTATTATAAAAAAAAAATATAATATATATATATAAATTAAAATCTATATTCTATTATAAATTATTAAAATTTTGTTTTGGTAGGTTTTTTTTTTTTTTAAAAAAAAAAAAATCTGATGAAATGAATGAGCATTATCATTATTAAATAATTTTTTTTTGAAAATATAATAATAATAATGATAAATAATGAAATGTAAATAAATAAATAAAAATAAGATCACAAAACTAAAATAATAATGCAAAGTTATATTAATATGCTCTACTTTTTACTTTTTATATGTATTATATGTATATATATTATTTTTTTTTTTATTTGAAAGTTGCTTTGCATATTTTAAAGAGAATCAGAAATCAGAAATTTGTCTTTCTAACATCTCGTGATAAATACTAAAAGCTTGATTAATGATCTAATCAAAAAAAAAATTTTAGTACTAAATTTGTCTTACTAATAAGAACTCAAAAGTTATATATGTATGTTTACGTACTTGTTCCATATCCAACGAGGGCAATCTCAATAACATTATTTGGATTTCTGATTGTTCCAACTCTTCAAGATTCTCCCTAGTGTGTTTTAGCAATGCTACCAAATATTAAAAATAGAGATTTATGTTTGTTTGATTTCAAATCTCAAAACAACTAAAAAAGATAGCATGTAACATACCATACCTAAACACACATAAGGATGAAATTCCATAGGATTTTCGATAGAAAAATATGTATCTAAATACAAAAATTTATTGATTTTTTTTTTTTAGTTAATGGTAGTAATAAAAAAATAAAATAAAATAAAATGGAAAATAATGCATTCTACTATGTAATGAATTCATCACCTCACTACATCGCTTTTCATATGGATCATATTGATAACTTACCCCATAGTCTCAATAAATCTTCGAATTGAAGTTCTTTTGCCAATAAATTCTGTAACCATGACGAAGCCCATTCATTAATATCAACTTCCTCCTCTTCAAAATAATTACATCTAGAAATATCAAACATCATATCAAAAAATTAATTTATGATTACAGAGCTATAAAACATGTCTATCATAATATCAAAGAATAAAAGTTTACAAGTCAGGATTGACGGATCTAAACAATGTCATGAAATTGGCAACACGCTCATTTATGTTGCTGTGAGTTAAATTATATTCATCTAGTATCAAAAGAGTTATTATTAAAAAAATTTGTTTTTAAGATAAAAAAAAAACAAAAGGAAGAAAAAAGCAAAAATAGATTTTTGTTAGGTTTTACCTAGCATAGACATGAGCCTTGCAAAACAATAGTATACCTCACATTCATTCTTTATACAATAGACAAATGGTGCGCATAAGTGAACAAGAGCCGGATGATAATCCACGTCTCGATTATGATTCATATAAGCTCCGATGACATTTTCAAAGACAACCGTATAATCATTAGAATCATTGGTATCATCAAAACCTTTAACTTTACGTTGATATCGACTAACTTCACCGCGAACGCGTTTATTAATATCTATATTTTCTTTTTCTATGGCAAGGTATTCTTCATATTTATCCTTGATGCTGGTTATTTCCTGTGCTGCCAAATTTCAAAGATATAATATATCCAAGTTAATAAAGTGCAACTAGGGTCAAATTCAGTCTAATTTCAACTTACATCTATCGGCCGGATTTACTCCAAGTAAATACTTCCAAGCTTCCTTTAATGGAAAAGAATAAATCATGCAGATATTAACTTGATGTGAAAAATAACATGATTAGATATTGAAAAAATGCTAACAAATACAAAAAAGAACAAAAAAAAAAACAAAAATAGATGCCCTGTCTAAAAAAACCCTTTTTTTTTTTTTTTTAAAAAAAAAAACAAATATATATATTCCCAAAAGATCACAATATATTTACCCCTCTGACTTCCATGGGAATACCATGTCTTGAAGATTCTCTCAGCTTATCAAGATCAATATGAACCTCAGCATTCAGGATATCTTTGAACTCCTTAGCGGATGCAGACATATCTCGAATTCTTTGATTTATCCTGTGGCTTACTGGATATCGAGCTGGCTGAGACACTTGAAGCATAAATATAGTTTTTTAGCCAGTTATGAAAGGGCCGTCGGGGCAAAGGGTTTGTTATTTATAGGTAAAGAACTTTACAAACTTTTTAATATAAAAAAAAAATTGTATCAATATATACAAAGAACTAAAAAAACTCTATTTGTATACTTGAAATAGATTAGTTGACAAAATTACTAAAACATGATGAATAAAGAAAAACGAAATAAAAAAAAAAAATATTTTTTTTTTTAAATGAAAAGTATCATGTATTTTGATCAGAAATTGGGGAAATAAAAAAATTTTTTTTTTTTGCAAAATAGACGATATATATATATATATATATTTTATGAATACAAAGTATAAACCAAGTTTCTCTTAAAGTAATATAATTAAAAGATGCCGATAAGTATGAAAAGTAATGTAAGGGGAAAGGGAAAAAGGGGAAGGAAGGTCAGAGTTGGAATAATTATCAGTGAGCAAGATGGTAAGATGGTGAAAGGAAAAGAAAAAAAAAATTTTTTTTTTTCTGATGACAAGGAAATGATAAGCAGACCATTTATATTTAGAGATGACAATTAAGGTTATTAATCATCCAATAAATTTTCATTCAACATGTATAAATTAATTTATTGCATAAGCAATTCAAATGTAAATTTTTTCTTTCTCTCGACTATATAGTCTGTATTTCGAGTTCTAACGAAAATAAAAAAAAAAGGGCTTTCGACTTCATTTAATGAATCTTTTTATTGATTCCAAATATCAAAAAGCTGCATAGATACAGATTGATTAATTCATTGATACGCAATAAATCTCTACCAACTACAAGAGCAGAAGGTATTAAAGAAATATTAATCACACACTCCCTCATCATCATCACATACGATGTCACAGATGATGTTGAACAAACAGATCATTGCCCCATCAAACCAAGATGACAAAACAATTACCAAAAAAGGGTTGATTTTCACCCATTTTTGATTTAAATTGGGAAAATTTTCCCGACTATAGAGTTAATCAAACAAAAAAAACGATGCAAGAAATTACATGCCGATATTGGGTAGCCGAAGTTTTCATTTAATCGGAGGTTGATTCCGAATTATTATCATTGTAAATTACCACACAATAATCATAATCATAATGAAGTTTCGAAGGCTTAGTCCAAAGGTGGAATTAATTACTGTGAATTCATACATCTGATATCACGTTGATGCATGTGTGATACAAATTCAAACACGCCAAACCGAAGATTGTGCGAGAACGCTTTTTTTTTTCAAGCCAATAATTTAAAGATTTCCTAGATCAATAATATCTTGATTACAAACAAACACAAAGAGATTTATCTCAGTAAATTAAGACCTAATTATATTACATGATAAATCCCACAAAATTTCAACAAATTTGACACGTGTTATACATATCCATATATGTAAATTCAGAGTTATGTTAATTCCTTAAATTCATTTTTCGAAAAAGGAAAGTCATTTTTGTTTTAGATTATAAATCTATTTTGTATGAATATATTATAAAGTAAATAAATTTTAATTTTAAACGGAAAAGTGGAAATCTATTTGGAGAACTTGGAAGAATATTCAATCACAAACGGAGCTGCAATAAATAATATGTCAACAAAAAACATTATTTTAAGATAACCTTGAGCAAAATTGTATCATTAAAAATGAACTTACCAACACGTATAGCAATAACAGTAAAAAAAAACGATGCAAAGCCATTCCAGGTTTTTCTTCGTTGTTGTGCCTTTTCTTCAGGTGTGGGTTTATTTTGTTGCATAAACATTTTGAAGTCTCTTTGAAATTTTTAAATCAAAAAAGTTGCGAAAAAAATTTTTGTCCGAGTTGTGGTGATGATGAACATCTCATATGATGAAAACTATCACGTGCGAATCATGCGAATCATATGAACTTCCCAAAGTTTAGTGTAAAAAATTTTCCAAATTTCATTTTTCAACCATGGCCACCGATATTTCAACATATCGCTTTGTAGGTTTATTTTTTTTATATTTCAATTAAATTAAACTTTATTCAATCCTATAATGTAACATTATAAATTATTATAGAATCATACAATGATTAGGGTCAAAGACCCGCAAGTTTCTCTCAAGTTTTATGAAGAAATTTTAGGAATGAAGTATAAATTACAATTTAATTCATCATCTTGTAGTATTTATTAAAGTTGCATTAATTAAATGATTTCAAATGGAATTTAATTCATTATCAAGACTTATCGATAAAATAGATTTGCCAGAAAAAGAATTTACGCTTTATTTTCTTGCATATGTTCGTGATGTCTTGCCTGAATCTACCGACGAAAGGATCAAGTATATCTTTTCACGAGAAGCAGTCCTTGAATTAACCCAGTGAGAATTCGATCTTTTTTATATATTAGAGAGACTCTCCGTGTCTGACTAATATTTGATCACGTAAAAAAAAATATATTTTTTTTATATAGTAATTGGAAAACAGAATTAGATCCAAACTTTGAATATCATCACGGGAATAAAGATCCTCAAGGTTTCGGCCACTTGGCTATTGCTGTAGATAATATTGAAGCCGCTTGCAAGCGATTTAATGATAATGGAGTTAAGTTCATCAAGAAATTGACGGATGGTGGTAAGGATCAAGAATAATATAATAATAATCTATATTTAAGGAAATTTTAAACTCATTTGATCCTTTGTAAATTAGCGATGAAACATATCGCGTTCATCGCTGATCCAGATGGCTACTGGGTCGAAATTGTTCAGGCTGGATTAGATCCGACTAAATCCGACTAAACCATGAGTAGTTTCATTTTCGTAATGTATTACTAAGACGCCGCTCACCATTTTCATAAAAAAGAATATTTTTATAAATATCATTATCAACAACCACTCTATATGATTATAAACGCGAAATAGTCAACATGAATTTTCTTTTCTTTTGAATAAAAAAAAAAAAGTATTTTTGTAATTTGAGCTAATGCTTCGATTTTCCACTAATACATATGTTTATCATAACATGCAAGAACGTGTGATTCCTGAAAAATCCATCAGTATGGGTCTCGTTTGTAAAAGTTTATTACTTTACTTAGATGTTCATGGTGTTCTTTAATAAATTGAATCAAATTTTGTGAAACTAATATATTGTAAAATGTTTTGATTGTCCTAAGCTGATGATAAATTATTAACGCTTTGCACCGAACATACAAGAAATCAAAAAAAAAAAAGACGGCAAAAATTTTAAATACAATTTTCGTGAATAGGCCAATCTAATTAATGATTACACAACCATCTCTTTTGTCTTCTTTAAGAATATCAACTGATTCTATTCTTGAAATAATAAATTTAAATTTAAACATAGATTCCAACAGCCATAAATAAAAATAAAGTTCCAAAGCCTAACGAAAGTGAAGCAGGAATAGCCGAAGATAATTCTAGTATTAATGAGGTTTTTGCTTTTATTCTGTTATAATATTAAATTGGAAATGGTTAAAGATAAAAAAAAAAAATACGTATCGTTTGATTTGGGATCAATTTTGAAAAATCAAATAAAAGGATACACAGAAAAAGTACTAGCAGCAACAAATCCTGATAATAAAAATAAAAATGCCAATAAAGGAAAGAAAACTTGTGAAATAGGTGTTTCGTAAGGTTTTCCTGTTTCCCAATCCGACTATATTTTAAAGGAATTTAGACCTTACTTATAAAATTCAAATAAGGAGAAGAAAAACCAACTCACCAGACCAGTCATTTTTTAATTTGGTATTTTTTTTGTAAAAATTTAAAGGAAGAGAGAAAGGAAGAGCTCAAAGTTTTTTGTGAAATTTCGATTTTCAAAATAGTATTTATAAATTCGAGTGATTATTGGATAAATATATACTGCCACGTGTCATATTCAAGCTTCATGAAAACCTTGTACAACATAATTCAATAAAAACCGATTATTTTTTTTTTTTTATTCCTCCTCTTTTCTTTCAAGTCTCAGCGAGGTTGAAGTTTTTTTTTTTTTTTTTCGCTGTAACAAACCATATAAAAATGGAAAACGAAGAAGGTCTTCAGGTTGATCTTTATCAACCAAGAAAATGGTTGGTTTTCTTTTATTTCTGTATCCAATTATTTGCATCATTTTTATTTTTATTTTTTTTTTTTTAAAGAACTTTAAAACTAGAACTATTTTTATTTTTGTTTCAAAAAAATTCATAATAATAAATGGATTAAATGAAATCGAAATCAAGTGATCAAAATAGATTAACCAAAAGAATCTTCTTCTATTATTTAACAATATATAGTTCAGCTACCAATCGACTTATCACCGCAAAAGATCATGCTTCAGTTCAAATAAACGTTGGTGAAGTTGATGAAAATGGTCATTACACTGGTAAATATGAAACGTATGCCTTATGTGGTTTCGTTCGTTGTTCAGGAGAGTCTGATGATTCCCTAAATCGCCTTGCGGCTAAAGATGGATGTAAGTCATTAAATAATCTTTAATATGTATTATATATTATTATTGGCTAAATTATTAATTTTTTTTTTTTTGTTTTGGCTTCATTTTTCAATTAACAGTTCTCAAAAAGTAAGTACTTTGCTCTTTGGTGGGTTCTAATTTACTTTTAACAATGTAATTTAACGTTTTCTTATCCTTATCTAGTGTGTGGTCCGCTCAACGTTAAAATTTGAACGTGTCACAAGAATATGTTCAGTTGACCTTCTTATATATTCAATAAAAGAGATTTCTTCTGTGAAATTATTTAAACAATTTCTCTTTATTTTCTTTAGATTTATAAAATGAAAATGTTAAATGTAATTAATTGATGAGCATTTTATTTTTGTGATGTTACAAATTATGAATCGCCTATTCGAATAGATTATCTTAAAATTATTTAAAATATAAAAAAAAACACGTTATAAATTCACGTAATCTCCTTTCCCATCATCAAATTACGTTTTATCAAATTTATAAATATCTTGCAAGGATAAGAAGAAAATTAAAATGTGATATTAATAATATTGTTTAGGTTTCTATAAAAATTGACATTCTACTACTATAAGTGCTATTAGTCGCGTAAAAAAAGGAAAATAAAACATTAAACTTCATTATAACCTTAAACGTTGAAATGAGATTTTTTTTTTTTTTTTATTTCTTCCCCTCAATTATGGCAATCTCTGTATAATCAGGTTTGGCTTTATCAGCGATACGTGGATAATAATACCATTTAACGAACCTTGTCCATGCTACATCAAAAAAAAGATAATTTGATAAAGAATTAAATAATGCCTACAAAAAAAAGTTCTCATACGAAACGAAAAGAAACTAATTACTCACCCCAAAAAGAGAATTTTCTGCCTAACCAACGTCCTAACCAAGGAAGTAAGAAAGCAACTAAAACCTGTTGCATTTGCTGAACAAGTTCTTCCCATTCCTCATCAAAATCAGATATATCAGATAAAGCATCCTCAACTTCTTCTTGACCTTGTTGCTGCTCGAATACTACTCGCGTTGCATTATTATTATTATTACTATTATTAAATTGTTGTGTCGGTGATCTTATACCAAAGCGTCTAGTTAAAGTACTTAAATAACTTTCTTCAATATAACCACCTTCGTCTGTTGGTACTTGGGAATTTATGATCGGTGGTACTGCAACTTGAGCCATTGCAAAGAGAAAAGTTATAAGGAAAATTATTTTTTATGGTTTTTTGACGCATTTAACGCATGGGATTACGTCTTATTCATGTGATCGACAGCCGAATCCATCGTGTAACATCCATCACAGAATGTTCATGTAAATGTCGGTCAAGTCACGAGAACGCGATATATTTTTTAAAAATTCCAATCATCATTTCAAATAATGACGAAATTTTCAAATAGCCTTATTGCGAGTTTCTGGTTAGGTAAAGAGTTACAATCGAATGATATTATACGAAAAGAAGAAGTTAGGGCTACTCTAAACACCTGGCAAAGTTGTCTGAGTCTTCGCGTAAGACAGTTGCTCTTATTTGAAGACGAATGTAATCAAAGTTTTAAGGAATTGGTTTTATCAGATAATAATAATAGCTCTGTAATATGTGAGAAAGGTTTACTTAAAGAAAGTGTGTTTGTAGGGTTGCGGAATGGTACGTGAATTATTTTTTTCATTATATTACAATTATACAGTGTGTTATGTGTATTTTTTTCTTCTTTTTGTTTAGTTTGAATTCTGCTTTATCATCTTTGCCCCTTTAATTTGTCAACTAGACAATGTTCCCTATGATACTTTAGAAGCGGAACCTTTCACTAAAGCGTCAAATATAATAAAATCTATTGCGCGTCAAATTTCGAAATTTTTCGATTTTAACATAATATCCACAAATGACTTTTTGAATTTGTATCATGATGAACTGAAGTGGTGTGAAGATTATGGTGTATGTTTTTTTCAAGTTTCGGTATTTTAAATAAAATTCATCAAATATTATAAGTCGATCGGATCAAGGGACATTTTTCATTCTTAACTAGGTGTATAAAAAATGTATTGAACTGTATCTTGAAGAAGATTATTTTACAGTTTTATTGATGGTAATATCGAATTTGGAGCGAATATTGGGTGATGTAAGTTATCCATTGTCAATTCTATCTCATGAACTTTTATGGCGCCATTCAAAGCTTTTTTATCCAATCCATTTGTCCATTTGTTTGGACCATACCCTCATTTATTTCCTTAGATCATTTATTCCCTTTATAACGATTCATCCTTTATTCCCTCACTTCTTCGTGATTTACTCATAGCGCCATCTCTCGTTTCAATTTTTGGAGAAGATATGATCTTTTTTCTTAGGTGTATAATTGGACCTCCAAGTTCGATGAATTTAAGAAATGTACTTTGGCATGGTTTCATTAATCCTCATGAGTTTTTACCAATCCCAGCTAAATGGTATTGTTCGCTCATGTTAACTATTACCATGAATGTTTGCAATAAAGTAAGACATAAGGGAGTGATAGTTTTATTGAAGAAAAGAGATGGGGTGAGCTTGGATGGGTATTACTATTTGACTCAACACGTTGACAAAACTGATGACAAGCACGCATACGATTCGATCAAAGAAGATTTTGATCAACTATACGAACGCGTGATGTATGGACACGGTTTGTTGACGACATTTTTTATTCTTACCAGTATTTAATTTGAGAAACGTAGGTTTAACGCGTTTTTCATTATCACGCTCCAAAAAAAAAAAAAAAAAGCGATACCTCCACAGGATTCTCATCTGCTGATCCTGGAAACTTTGCTATTTAGAAATTTCTTTGTAATCTCACAATCTCATTCGACCTGGTTACGTGCATTTCATAATTTATCCAATGATCAAGTGTTGTTATCTTTCATCCTTGTATTACCGCTTCTTGAACATTGTCTAAGAAGGATTTACGTTTGCGTGAACAAAGATGTGCAATCTCATCGAATGGGTACCGTGGAAGTTGGTGAATATTTTCTGACACTAGATATTATTCTAGAAGAAAAGGTTGCTAGAGCTTTTTGCGGGATTGAAGAAGTGAAGAAGGATGAGGAACAAATGAATGAGATTTATTCGGAATTCGGAGGAGACGTCATGGTATGCTTTATACCAATCTCTTTTTTTTTCTTTTTTCTTTTGTTAACATAACACTTTGGTGATGAAAGGATTTACTCCTTGATCTATTTGTTCATGCTGGTGGACCTAGGCTAAGAGATCGTGTAGCTCACGGTGAAACAAATCATTTAATTTCTTCGGAATCATTCAATCTATCCAATCCCTTATGTAATTATTTCATGGGACTTTTAATAGTATTATGGAATAAGTATAAAACAAATATAAATATATCATTAACCCATCAAGATAATATAATCAAAGGAGATTGTCAGTCCTCGACGACTAATGAGATAAAACTTTATGAGACTTGGATATCTAACTATCGTTCTCGTTTTCACCCAATTCCCTTACTTTGGAAAGAAAACGTTCAAATGATTACGAATGTATGGAAATGTTGGAACGTTTATCGAGAAATGGCAAAAACTGGCAGGTTTATGATGGGTAATTGGATCGAACCCTCTTGGGTTATGATAAGTGAAAATCCCGAAGATTTTAGCTTGTTTGAGCAGGGGTTCCTCAAAAATATTGTGGAAGTAGACAATATATTCATAGTTGTACAGGATTGTTGTACGAGACTTAATAAACGTAAGCTCGGAGAAGCAAAGCACTTTGAAAATAATTCGATTTATTGGAGTCAAATCAAGTTCACAAAAGATGATGCCAAGGTTATTAATTTTAGGCGTGGGGTGATCAAGAAAGCCAATGCTGGGGTTGAAAAGGTAAGTTTGATTTGTTATAAATTTGATTAGTATAGTAAGTTGCGTAATAATTTAATCATTACTTAATAATTTGTTTAATTCTTTTTTTTTCTAGTTACATTCAATACTTATAAATTTACATTCATCAAATTCTTTATCATCACGTAAACGTAAGAATACTCAATCATTATTTAATTTATTTCCCAGCATTTTTCAACAATTATATTTTGCATTGTTAACGCTTGAACAGACTAGAAATCAAAAAGCAATGTTGTCAAAATTAGTGTTTGTTGAAAGATGGAATGGATTTTGCGTTGAAGGAAATTATAAAGATATAAATGGAGCATTCGAAGAATTACTTAAACATTCTAAAACTGATGATTAGTTGATAAAACTAATTCCGACATTTAACAATGGAAATGTTGTTGTTCATGAAAACTTTACCAAAAATTGATCAAAAAAAAAAAAATTTTCCATTTGAAATACCTCATATTTTTATGGTCTTCTAGAAGATAACCAATTGTTCGTGTTTATGAATTGCGATGCAGTTTCATTAGAAATAGCCCCACTTGCTTTGAGAGAATTTATCGCGATCATAACCTGAATGTACAACGATCAAATTTAATGATATCAAAATTATGTGATGTAAAACCAAGTTCATATTAATTTACCTCATCCCAAAATGCAAGTCCATTCTCTAAATCTGCTTTCACATTTATGCACCCCGTAAAAGTTTCATCGAGTTTCTTTAACGCTTCAGATACGTGTGATCTCGTTGAGCCCTTGCTATCATTATCTTTTGATAACTTAATTACAGTTTCAAGGTACGTTTTAGCGATTATTCCCATTCCTGTATTGGCATCATACAAGAATGGTAAACTGGAAAAAAATAAAATACGTACATTAAAAGGTATGTAGAATAAACATAAATAAAAAATATTTATCAAACCTTAAAGCGATTTCAAGGAGATCCTGTCTATCTCTAACACAATCCCCATTAAGAAACATTGATAAAGTTAACATTTCACACAAATTTCGCAAAGAACGATTCAATGCTCTTACAAAGCTATTAAAAGCTAAAAGCTCTCGGCTAAGTGGTCCATTCCAAGAAACTCCCTAATATAGAAAAAAAATATGATAAATAACCAGATAAGAAATGTACTGTTACATAAAACATAATGAATAAGACATTAGATATTAACCTTGAACTTTGCAGGAATTAAACTCAGAGTCCTTGAAAGGAGGAGGATATGTCTTTTCTCCTCATCTTTTTGGGGGGATATGTTACTAATGTGACTAATGAAATCATAACTTTAAATCATAATCCCTAATTTGTCTTACCGTTAACAGCGATTGATGATGTATAATACGTTCTGCTAAGATTATTACCATTCAAATATCCAAAACGTATTAATTCTAATGCAGAGAATAATTGTTCATGATGTGACCTAACGTTAGGCTTGAATGTAGCTAGAGCCTTTTTAAATGCAATACCCCACGCAGTATGCGTATGTGATGAAGTCAAGAACCTAAGTACATTATAATTAGCAATTTTGTATAATTTGTCCAATAAAGCAAGAATTCCATACATATAAGCACGTATGTAATAACTTACTTCCTTAGGTCCAAAAGTTTCCACAACACATTAGCCAAAATTTCATCTTTAGATTCAATAATTTTATCATTGTTTTTTGGCATCACCGTTTTGACAGCCTGATCCTCCGTAGCTGTTGCTTTCAAACAGAAAGCAATATCGATAACGGATGTCTATATGATATAAGCTCACGTTAGTATAATAAATAAACCAAGATTAAAGTTTCGTTCGAGGAACGCGATGATCTACCTTTTGCGCCCTTTTCTCTTCTTCCAATCCTCTTTCCAAAACGTTCCAAGTATTTAAAGTTTCATGTACGCTTGGCTGTGCACCATGGTTTAAATGGTGTTCGTTACCTGGCTCAAACCAATAGACACTAACAACTCGCCTAGATTGATAAAACTGGTGCAAAGGCTGCGTGAGCAAACCCATGGCTTGCGTTCGGAGCTCAAGTAATTGACCAAGGAAATTTTTATACTCTATCGTTTCTCCATTGCACAAAGGCGAATTTTCAATCAGGACACCAGAAATTAAAGTGTTAATAACCTATTAAGGATCACATGCAATTATGCTTAGTAAAGAGAAGGTAAATTTTCTTTTGAACAAATTATTTTAACGAAGCTATCATTGACAAACCTGAGGTGACATTAAACCCTTGGATAAATAATAATATACTTCATCAGGTAAACGATACCCAATGACATCATGAATATCACTTGGTGCATTTTCGAGGTTCAATGATTCGACCTTTCCCTCATCTGTCAACACCATATGAAATTTTATGGCACACCTGGTGCGACAATATACTTCTGCGTAATTGTGTTTGGTCACTCCCGCGTGATTCCCATAGCTTTGAACAGCATTGAATCCAGTACGATATTGCTTAATTAAATCATGAACACTTTTAAAGGTGAAGCCGCTATAATCGGAACTAAGAGGCGGGAAGGTGATACAATATTCAAAGCCCGCAAGAATACAAACATCAAGAAATTGTTCGTCTGTTATATCAAGGTCATTCAAAATTGATTTCTTGTTGAGCCAAGAGTATGTACCTTTCTGTATAGTAAAACAAATGTTAGGGATTCATTTCGAATTATAGTAAGTAGAATTACAAGAACCAAATAACGCGAACCTCTAAATCCAAGTTTATGATAACTTTGTCAACATCATACATCAATAATTCAGATCCACCGTAGATTGCGTGGATGAATCCTTTTTGATGACGTTCTAAATACACTAACTTGTGGATATCACGAGTAATTTTTTTTTGTTTATAAAAGATACAGAATCGACGTGAGTTATGTTTCTTTCACATTTGTTCTTGGAGTAACTATAATTTATAAAGTCACTTCATCGAAAGCAATGAAAAGCGAGATTACGATAAGTAAATCTATCGAATCGTCGACTAACTACTTGGCAGAAAATTAAAATGATAATAGAAATATCCTATCACGTAATAAGAAAGCAAGATAAAATATTAAAAGTTGTCTACAAACCTGTCCCCAAGCCAAATAAGGAGCACGCATAAATTCCACATCATTCTCCTTCAAAATACTGAAAACAAGATATAACAAGTCTGGTTGATGCACGAACCCAGACACTGCTGATGCCCAGCTACTGTAAGCTTGTTCCACTCGACCCTTCTCATAAGCTTCCCAAGCTTGAGCACGTTTCGAGGGTCTTGTATCCTCCGTTGAGAATGGTTTATCTTTTCGAATTATATTAAGTCCATTGAACACAAAAACTGGCGTAATTCCGTATGATCTACGGATATCAAATTTCAAAAAAAATTTTTTAAGCAAAAATTTGGAAATCAAAAAAAAAAAAAAAAAAAAAATGAGACGTACTTGATTAATTCTAATTCCTTTTCTATTGCTGATCGTAATCCAATTGGTATTCCGCCTAGTGCCGTGGTCGCAGATTCCTTTGCAGAGGTTTGCAAAAGTTTCCTAAGCCAATGTGTACCGTCAATTCCAAGACGAGTGTCTTTTAGAGAAGAAAGTTGAGAAATTTGAACCAGACGACGCTCAACTGTAAAAACTACAAAATACAACAAAAGTAAGCAAGCATAATCTCTTTATACGGCATAATAAAAATAGAGAGATTGAAATTACTTTCGAAATGTCTAATCATTTTAATAAGGTTACTACAAGGTTTGACTAAATTTTTTTAAAGATCTATTATAAAAAGATGCATAATTTTGTTATCGTACAATTCTGCACGGGCATTAAATTTGCCAATCAAATTTTGTTAAGTGGCATATAAAAAGATAGAAATTGTTCAAATTATACTATGATTAAAATTTCGAGGTCTCATTTCGAATTTTTTTTTTCTCTGTAAATAAAGCCCAAATTATTGATAAACTCGGCAATAATATCAAAGTTTTTATCTTAGGAATTGTTAGAGTAAGTTCAACTTGAGATAATGGACGTCGTTATTTTTTTCAATTGACCTTCTGAGCCTAAAACCCAAAGCCAATCTGTTCGAATTATAACCGTTTATGAATAGATAAAGTAATCATGCCGCTCTCACCATTGTCAGAGAGCGAGTCTCCTCTCCACAATAATACCAATGGAGATACATATGTCAATCCTTTTGAAATTTCGGACGATATTTCTTCGCCAGATCCTCATACAACAATCGAACCGGACGATGTTGATCTTTCGACCCCTGATACCATTAAAACTCAAGCCAAAGCGAAAAGTCCAATTCCTAAAAGCACAACTACCATTAATATTGAGCAAACGCCAATACCCGTTTCAGGATCGATTGGTCAACAACCCAGGCCTTACGCTAGCGATACTCTTGACGAGCCAGTTTCAGAAACCATTGTAAGTTCAAGCCTTAAATATGAATTGATTCAGTTTGTCGTTAAATAATCTCCAATTAACAACTTGAATACTGTGTATTAGCTTCGTGATTTGAGGAATGTGGCAATTAAGTTACAACAAGTTCTTCATCCAAAAGGACGTAGAGATGTATTAAGAGACTGTATATATATATATATATTTATTTTGTATTTAAACTTATCCAATTTCTATAATTATACTATAAATTTGACAGTGAGCAACGATTTTTATCTTTCTTTATTGTTAAATAGGGGATTTATGGGGTCCATTGATTCTTTGTTTAGCTTTAGCCATGTAAGTTTTTTTTTTTTTTTCCCAATATTAGAAAGCTATTCTTTTTAAAAGCAAGAACGAACGTTTACGATCTTTTGTTTAATTTTATGATAGAATGTTGAGCTTTGCACATAAAGATCAACAAGTTATGGTTTTCACCAGTGTATTTGTCATCGTTTGGTGTGGATCTGCTATTGTGACGATAAACGCCAAATTACTAAGAGGCACTGTGTATGTTAATGGTTAATGCTTTAAAATCTGGTTCATTTGAATCGACCGTGGTTAAATATTTTTATTTTTTTAATTGCAGTTCATTTTTCCAGAGCGTTTGTGTTCTAGGTTATTGTATTTTTCCATTAGTGCTCGTTGCGTTTGTAAACATTTTTGTAAGCAAAATTTATATAAGGCTGCCACTTGTAATTATTGCATTCGGATGGTCATCATACGGTAAGTTTTATTAAGGATCTGCTTGAATATGATTTGAAAACTTCATAAAATCTAATTTATTATTGCCATCTAGCATCTGTAAACTTCCTCTCCGCTTCACATTTAGCAAATCGTCGAGCATTGGCCGTATACCCTCTCTTCTTATTTTATTTCGTTATTGGGTGGATGGTATTAATATCTTAAAAAGATTTTAATTTATAAAATTGTATATTTAAGGCCGGACCAAAAAAAAAAAATAATTAATTATGATTCTCGTGAAACGAGCTCCCGGATTTTTTTTTTCTTTTAAATTTGCTTTTAAATATTTTTTCTACGTCATCATAAAAACTTGACGCGAGAAGCTAGAATTTTTTGCTCGACCGTAATAATTTTCAATACCAATTTCATATAAATTACATTAGCTAAGTCGAAATTGCATCAGTGATATCGCATTCAAAAGACCCTGTGCAAATATTTCAAGAGCTCGTATTTTTAACGAACTCAACAAAAAAAAAAAAAAAAAAAATTGAAAAATTTTAATTATAATTCTTATTGTATAAATACCATAAATTTAATTTAAAACTTTCTTTTTTTTCTTTGGGTTATTTTTTTTTTTTTTTTTTTTTTATTAGAATTTGAAATTATTAATGTTTTGTTTCAAAAATTAATGATCGAATATAAATATAGAAAAGAAAATATATAACCGAATTTTAATAATACTGTATATATTCTGTACCTTAATCTTTAACCATTAATAAGGTACTTGTTCAATCTAATTATCATAATACAAAGAATCTATTATAAAAAATACTTCATTGAATTTTTTTTTTAAAAAAAAAAAAAATCTTCAGTATTTGTTCTTTGTTCAGAGTAAATTTAAACGGACGATGTTGTTAACAAATGCCGATAATCGATTACTGACAAAAATTTACCGTGTGCTTATCAGAAGTAAAAACCTTTCTTTACAACAAACCTATATGATCCTACATTTATTGTTTCATGGGCTTTACATCCATCAAATGATCCTAACTATCTAATGTATGATATCAGTTATTCAAAAAAATTTATCTAAATTATAATGTTAATGCATTTTTGGAAGGATGGTTAGCTTATCAAAACAGAACAGGAATTTTTAATAAACAATATTTATAATTAATCCTATGAAATTTTGGTAAAGTATAAAAGAAATTAAGTGTATTTGCATAACCATTTACTTGCAATTTATTATTTAAATAATAAATTGTTTAATTTAGAACAGAAAGTAAGCACTGATGAGATTAAAAGAATCTATTACATTTTGTTAAAAGATACTTTTTGTAAGAAAATTAATATATAGAGTAGTATCTAAGAAGCAGAAAAGTTTCAAATAGTATTAATGCAAGTACAAGGTTACCATTTAACTATTTATCCAATAAGTTCTATTTTATAATTCCTTGCTTATTAAGATTAGACTATGACTGACTTTTTTTTTTAGTATGGATTAGAAGTAATTGCATTGATGAAAAAATTCTTATAATTTCACAATGATAGCATTAAGAATGAAAACATTTACCTTATTTTGATTGCATGTCGATTACTTAAAATCTTTAATCATATTTATCCATTCTATGATAGTAATGAATATATTAATCATTTGATTATGACATTATATCTTATTCATAATAGTTATCCACCTGTTGTTTTTTAGGAATTTAATCAAAAAGAATATGTAAATTTAATGATTGAAACTTAAGCAATAAAAAATTATAGTTAGCTATATGATATAAAAATATAAACTATCTTTGAATAATCATCTCTCTTATTCTTATAAATAATGAATTATATCAAATAATGATATTTAATTTAAGGATTTTTATAATAGTAACCTATAATAAAATAAATATGATAAAAATAGTTGACTTATAAATAAAAATTATATTAATAAAATTCAATATTGATCTTATATAATATACACTTTAATAATTTTTAATGTTAGTAAATTTGAGATAATAAATTCTTAAATAAAATCTTTTTTTATCTCTTGAATTGCAAGTATATATTCATAAAATTATTTTATCACCATCTCTTTTTTTGTTAACAGTTTTCATTTTTTCAGGTTAAGTATTTTAAAAAATTAATATAATGCAAATTACTTATGTTTAAATCATTTAATTATTTGTGCACATTTTAAAATAATAGGTTAATTTTATATATGAGGATTATTCTAAAATATTAAAAATATCTTCATTTTCTTAAAAAATAACATTTTGTTGATTAAGCAAATGAACTGGAAGCTATTTAATTTTATGTGGTCTTTCTTATAAACTAAAATTAAATAATCTTCAAGATGCTTTAATAGCAAAAACATATCTTACATTTAGATATTTTGTGATTTTATCTTGCAAGCTTTCAATAGATGTTATTATATAATCACATTCTTTATAAACATATTATAAAGATATTTCATAGAACAGATATTTAAATATATCTTAAATTTTAATATGATATTCGTATTTTTGACAAAGATAAAAATTATAAGGTACAATTTATCTATTAACAATATTAAGTTTTTCTTTTTTGATTTTTTTTCCATTGTCTCTTTTTCTATATATTAGATCTTTACACTTGTTTGTAATTATTTTTTCAGCAAAATCTCTATAATAATTCTTGCTATATTTGTCATTTATCATGCAAAAAGATTCAGAATTCAAGTCTTCACAAAGTCTATAAATCATATTTCTAATAACTGTATTATATAATAATACTTGAAAATCTTTATCTGAAATTTTTGTATATACTATCTTATTAGAATCTTCAGGTGATTTTAGTTTACTTTCAACAAATAAAATCATTAAAATATATACAGTGCCCGGCAACAAATTACTGGTCACACAACACTGATCAATTTTAATGCAAATTTTTAAATTCAAATTACTTGATCATTGTCGCATCAAATTTAATAAAATTTTTTTTATTTGCACAATAAAAAACTTCAGCTATTTATTAATACTTTGTTGGATGACCTTTACTTTTTATAACAGCAGCAACTTAACGAGACATGCTATCAACAAGATTTTGATATTTATTAATATCAAGATTTGACCTGTTTTTTGGTAATGGAATGTGTGCCCGCACCTGCCTTTCTAATTCATCCCATAAATTTTTTATCAGATTAAGATCCAGACTCTGTGCAGGCCAGGGAATACTATTCACTTTATGTTTCACTTTCTATCTTTTAATAATATTTGCAGTGTGTATAGGAATGTTATCCTCTTGAAAAAAATAATTATCCTGATTATCTAAACCCTCTAAAAATGGAATTAAATTATTTTTTAACACTTTCTTATATACCGCAGCTGTTACCCTTTCTTCTAATTTTACTAATAGACTAAAATTATGTTTTGCGAAATATTCCTATACCATTACTCCTTGTTGACCTGACTTTACTGTAGGAATTAAACACTCCACATCATACTTTTCATGAGGCCTACCTTCTACTATTTCCTCCAAACACTTCAAACTTGGATTCATCACTCCAAATGATACTTTTTCATTCATTTATCCACTCTTTTCTTTTTTTAGTCCAGGCAAGTCTTTTTTGTTTATTTTTTTCACTTACAAAAGGTTTTCTTATACTAACTCAACTATAGAAACCTTGTTCATGAAGGTAAGTGCTTAAAGTTTTTTTACTAACTTTTGTTAAAGTGGAATTGACAAATTCTTCATGTAATTCCTGAAGGTTCATTTTTCTATTTTCTTTAAGAATTCTCGTCAAATGACGACCATCTCTTTCAGTCATTATAGGCAGTCTACCAGTTCTAGGAATAAGTATTTCATCTTCACAAATTTTATAAGCAGAAATAACATCATGAATGGTACTTTGGGGATGGTTTAAAGCTTCGCTAATCTTTCTTTCACTTATTTTACATTTTCAAGCACCAATAACTTCATTATGTTTAAAAATGAAAAGTTCTTTTCTTTTAAAAGCCATGTTTAAATAAGAAAGATTTTAGTAATACGTGGCAAAAAACTAGAGGTGTATTAATAAGAAAATGGCTGAGATAACAGGTTTTAAAGATAAATAAATAATAATTAACAATCACGTGACCGGTGACTTCTTGCCAGACACTGTACATATAGTAATCCTTTTTTTTATAATTCAATCACATATACATAAGTAATAACTCTACTAAGTATACCTTTTATAAAGAGATCATGGGTGATTTCTTTTAATTTTAATTTAAACATCTTTATAATAATATCAAGCTGATTACTTGCTTGTTAGTTTGATAAGAATTCAGTTTTAATTTCTGATTAATTGGAATTATAAGTAATAGTAACAAATAATCAGGTTTTCATATTCTCTAATAATTATCATGAAGTCTTGATATATTTGTTATATGTATCTAGTTAATTCAATAAATAAAGATAATAAGATTTTTTTTTTTCAATCTTATCTTTATAAAAATCTTCATTAGTGATAATATTATATAAATCTAAATATAATTCACTTTTATAATATTACTGTATTTTTCTATATCATCTCAAATGATTTAATTCATCTTTAATATATTGATCTACTAAATATTGCTAAAATAATCTTCCAGCAAAATATAATGTATTTTTGTTTTATTTGAATTCTTAATTTATATTCGATATGTTATAAATTCTCTAATTATTACCCTTTTTTTCTTTTTTCTTAGTTAATTTTTTAAATTTTCATCATCTATAGATTCAATTTCCTAATCATCATTATCTACAGATTCAATTTCCTCATTATCATCATAATTATCAAGAATAATAAGATTAATTTCATTATCTTCTCTATCTGATGTATATGCTCTATTTTTACTTTTATCTTTTGTTAAGACAGATTCTAAATCAAGATTTTTAAAAAATTGGGTTACTTCAAAGTAGCTAATATTTTGTATAATTTCTTTTTTAATTTACATTCTATCTTTAATTTGAAATTCAAATTCAAATATAAGTTCAATTACATTTGTTCTTAAAATATTGTTATGCCATCCATATTCATCATAAGGAAATAGCAAAAGATATTATAATAGATCATAAGTACCATTTAATTTAGAGATATGTTTTAATTATCTTTTATGAGTTTAAATAACAATATCTTAAGATTTAGATTGAATGTCATAGTTACAGAAAAGAACTGTAACTTTTAATGTTATTGGTTTATTATATTGTCTCATATTCTTATCATGTGT